ACCCATAACAACAAATGAGTTCAAATCAATAAGAAGAAACGTGGAAAACACATAGAGAAGAAACTCGCAGCGATCTCTCGACGACGGTTCTTCAATCTCTGCTTCCGGAAACTCTTTCTTGATTCTCTCTCGAGTTCTCTGGCTTCTGCTGTGATCTCTCGATGATTTCTGAAGCCCAAGACGTCTCCTATTTATTTGCTTGGCAGCTGGGCTTCTTCCTTTTCTGAAAACGGAAGTCCAGATGCAAAATAGGAAGTTTTCCCGTAATGCAACACGGCCGTGTCGAATGCAACACGGTCCGTGTCAATTCTCTGTTAAAAATCTGCACTTTAGACTTGGGCTGAACACGACCGAGTTTGAATCAACACGGCCGTGTCGAATGCCAACACGGTCCGTGTCAATTCTCTGAGCAAAACATCACTTTTTTCAGCACGGACACAACACGGCTGTGTCGAATGAAACACGGTCCGTGTCGATTCTTCAACTCGAACATGCTTGACATATTTGCTCATAACTTTCTGCTCCAATGTCGGATTTGTGCGATCTTGGTGTCTATGCGTAGATATTGAAGAGAGCTTTCCAATGAGCTAGAGAACACGTTTGGACTTGTAGAGTGAAAGTTATTAAACTTGCAAGATTTGACTTTTTAGGCTTCGTGTTTTTCCCCGGAACAACTCCAAATGTTCCCGTTTCGTCTGTGATGTTCCGTAGTCCATATTTTCCACTCCTTTTGCTCTCTTTTATGCATGAATACATGTTTTGATACCAAAGAAAGCAACCAAGCAATATCGAGACCAAATGTGCTCTAGAATGCCTATAAATATGCAAAACCGAGTAAAATGCACTAGACATCCTATACCAAAATGTCACCAAAATACATGTTATCAGTGGTGGAGGAGTAAAATGCTTGTAAAAGACGTGTCGTGAATTGGTTAAGTGTTAAGGATTAGTCGGAAGATATTGAAGGTAGCTCGTTTTTCCCTATGAAACAAAACTGGAAAAAATGAGCGACCGCTCGGAAAATGAGCGACCGCTCAGAAAAATGAGTGGGTAGCTCATTTTCTTTGATGAACAAAACTGGGGAAAATGAGCGACCGCTTGGAAAATGAGCGACCGCTTGAAAAATGAGCGACCGGTCAGGAAAATGAGCGGGTAGCTGATTTTCTCTGATGAACAAAACTGGAAAATGAGCGACCGCTCGGAAAATGAGCGATCCGCCAGATTTTTCTGAGTTGTTCAAAATGAACGAAAAATCGCGTCTGTTCGGAAAAAACTTCCCTATCTTTGCACCTTTTGACTTTTGGAGTGTTAAAAACATTCCTAGATGTCTGAACACAAAAGAAGAAAAAAATCTAATTGATTTTCCATCTTTTACTGTTCATCTTCTTTCTCGGGTTTTTCTGCTTGAAACTTGCTACTTCTTCTCCATCTTTTACTGTTCATCTTCTTTCTCGGGTTTTTCTGTTTCTGGCAACGTTTGAGGAGCAGATCAATCGGTGCTGATCTTCTTTGTATCTCTAAACGTATTCTCGGGATTCTCCTTTGCTCGGTGGGGAGGGAATAACGTTTTAGGAAAGTGAAATCACGCCTAGAAGATTATATCCGGGTTAATCTGTTATTTTGTTTTTCGATTCTGTTTTTCTTTTGTATTCATTCTCGTGTATCCAGACCCATCTTTTTCTAACATTAACTATTCCTTGTGTTCGATCCTGGTACTACAGTTGCCGGGGAGTAGTTTAGCGCTAAGATAGAGATTCCTTTGAATCTAGATCCCTTCTCATCTATTGTTATCCAGTTCCTGCCCTATTCTAGTTCTTTGTCCTATTTTTCTGGTGTGTAGGCTTTCCTGGAGTATGACCAAGAGTTCTGGGTCTTGACAACCTAGTTCCTCTTGATCCAGAAATCGAGAAATCCGCCAAACGCAATCGGAAGAAGAAGAAACAATAGAAGAAGATGGAGGAACATGCTTTAGCTGTTGAGAATGACAATGACACTTATGGGGCATATCTTCAGCCCAAGTACACTCAACAACTCTCATGCATTCGCCGGCCCGATATAGATTGAAATAAGTTTGAATTCCAGCCGGCATTCATCAGTATGCTCAGCTCATCGGCATTTAGGTACTAATTATGAAGATCCAATTCCCCATCTGACTCGGTTCAAACTGCTATGCCAGTCTGTGAAGACGGTTCAAGGAGTCACCGATGAATCACTTATGCTCATGGTTTTCCATTCTCCTAATTGATGATGCGCTAGAATGGCTCTACACATTGCCGCCAGATTCCATTTTCTCTTGGGATCAGATGCAAGAGAAATTCATGCAGCGATTCTTCCCCACAAGCAAGATCCAGCTCGCAAACCAACATATCAACTCTTTTATGCAGGAACCCGATGAATCGTTGCGCGAGACTTGGGACCGTTTTTTTGGATACCAGCGGCTTTGCCCTCATCACGGATTGGACAAGAGGTACCTTATCTCCACTTTCTTGCAGGGTCTAAAGGAAGATACTCGAGTCCTCATTCGAGTTGCCTGTGGAGGAAGCCTCAATGAAAAGTCTTTCGACCTCATCGAACAACAAATCTCCAAAATGGCTAACGAGTGTGCTCCTTCCCACGAATTCGTAAGAAGTATTGGTCTTAAGGACAACCGTGCAGGTAAGGAAAGCCAATCCGAAAAAGGTAGCTTGACCTGAGGAATGATTTATAGGCTGTGAGATTAATCGTTACATAGGATGAAAAATGGGACTGAAAGCTTTCTAATCCAAGCGTGTATGTTTCCCTAAGAACCGTTCCCCATTTGCAGGAATATTAGGCCCTATAGTCTAGCGAGTCTTTTTCTTCACTCTATCTTTATTTCTTTTGACTCGTTTAGAAACACACAGGCAAGTAGTCCGGGGGTGGCAGCAATCATCACGAGGCGAAAGTAAGCCCTGTTTATCCAAAACCCATACCCTATTCTTCCCGACTTTTACGTTCATCTTCCTTGATCATATCATGCATTCGTTTAACGCGTATTACGGAAAAAAAAAAGAAAAAGAAAAGAATAGCCGTGAAAAGGGGAGATAAATATATATATATATATATATATATATATATATATATTAATGAGAAAAGAAAGAAAAGTCTTGACGGATGACGAATGCATTTGATATTGATCTTTTGAATTTCGATTTTCCATCACCATATCTAGACCTATTCCGAACCCGAGTGGACCGAATTATTCCTGTAGACAGCGATAAATAGGTTTGAGAAACATGTTTGGCAGATAACTTGAAATCCCTTTTGAAGTTTTGGGTAGTGAGCTTCGTCTTATAGTTCTATGATCATTTTGTTGGAATTGAGATCTGAATAGGATAGGTCTGATTTCATTCAAGGTTAGTCGATACTGAAGAGAAATTTCGCTTTTGAAACTCATGAGGATTTTGACTGATCATCTGCTTTGTTCTCCCTCAAGTGTTTTTTTCCGTCGTATATTTGCTCGAGATGAGCAAAAGTCTAAGTCTGGGGGAGTTTGATAACATGATTTTCTCCTCTATTTTAAGGCTCATTGTCTAGCACTTTCACATCGGTTTTGTGCATTATTACACATTTAGGATCATTTTAGTACTGGGTTTTGTTTCCTTTGCATTCTTTGTGGTTGAAAAGATAATAGATGCATTATGGACGCCAGAGGAACAAAATCGAGGACTTCGGAGCATGTTGGACCGGAATGGAACGATGAGGACATTTGCAGCTTGAGTTGCACTTGAACACGACCATGTCGACCTCAAACACGGTCGTGCAGAAGCGAAAAAACGAAGACATTCTTACAGACAATTGACACAAACCGTGTCAATTCACATCACGCCCGTGTCGACTTGCAACTCGCCCATGTCCAGCCCGTACAGAAGCGCAGAAGTTTTGATCAGACAATTGACAGGGACCGTGTTGTGTTTCGAGAAAACTTCCTATTTTGCATCCGAACTTCCGTTTTCAGAATGGGAAGAAGCCTAGCTGCCAAGAAAATAAATAGAGGACGTCTTGGGCTTCAGGAATTATCGAGAGATCACAACAGAAGCCAGAGAACTCGAGAGAGAATCAAGACGGAGTTTCCTGAGAGCAGAGATTGAAGAACCGTCGTCGAGAGATCGCTGCGAGTTTCTTCTTTATCTGTTTTCCATGTTTCTCTTTATTGATTTGAACTCGTTTGTTGTTATGGGGTGAGTAGTCGTTTCACTGTAGCTAGGGATTTAACCTTGTAAGGATTTGTTTGGTTTTTATTTTCCGAGACTACGTTATCGATACTCGTCGGTTTGATTGAATTGAGTTTATTGCTTTTAATCTTCTTGGCCAGTTGATTGATTGATTTTAGATTCTGATTTGCAACGAGAGTTGAGATTAGTTTCGGAACGAATTCATTGAATGAATTGATTAAGACTATTGAAAGATAGGTTGATCGATGTAGGAACTGTGATAGTGATTGTTAATGCGTTTGATTATTTAATCTATTAGATTGAGAGATCGATAGGTTAAATTATTGGATAGTGGATTTAGGATTTGAAAGAGCCAAATATGATATTAGAACTTGAGATCCCCGATTAGAGTTCGATATTCGTAGATTCTCCACCTTAGAAACAATCCATGCGCGTTAAGGTTATCCTGAAACTACTGTGGTTTAGTTATCTGATTTTACTTAGTTTATTTATTGTTTTATTTTCGGTATTCATCTGTTTCATCTGCTATTTCCTGATCTGATTCTTAGTCGAGTCTTGTTCTTAGTGTTAACTATTCCTTGTGTTCGACCCTGGTACTACAGTTGATCCGTATCCTTGCGGTATTCGCTGTATCTAGGTTTTTATTATTTGAGCTTATTTATACACTTATATTTGTGTTATCACTAGCACAGGCGAAACTGGTGGAATCCGAGCATGGGGGATGACTCCCAAGTCTCCTTAACTACCTGCTTGAATTCAGGGTGAAGGGATAAGTGATGAAAGTATTTAAACGGGTGGCGAAGGTGATAAACATATAAACATAGTTCAAAGGCATGTACTTTTTATTTTTTTTAATCTCTGAAAATACAGCGAAATTATCTTCCTGTGATCATATATGATACAATCGGATCGATGTTTAGGCAGCGGTTAAGGTCATATAGCGTTTGCGATACGCGGAAGCGGCTGCTGGGGAAAACATTTGCGTCACTCCTTCATCCTTCACATGCGGACCCAACATCCCCAAAGCCACCTATAAAACATACATTCAAAATATGTATTACTAATAAAGAAACATTAACAATATATACACACGTTCATGAAAGCTTCCAGATTTTGATTGGCATTTGTTCTTGTGGCGAACTTTTATTTCGTTTTATAAGATTCATGAGAACGAGTGAAAAAATGTTTTGCGTACCCGAAGAAGTCTGAGGCAGAGCCAAACACGTTGGGGCGTAGGAAAGGGAGCGAGCAGAGTGGCAATGGAAGAGAATGTGATGGAGAAGAGATGGAGGACGAGAGAGAGCGGTCGTGGGTTCATACCGCCGATTAGAGACATCAATCCCGACGTGAAAACACCTCCACTGCAGAGGTAAACGAAGCATTCTTGGCGCATCGCTTCTCTTGCTTCGTCTTTAGATGCACAAAGTACTCGGTGAAACAAATCAGCCAATGTGTTTACCGTTGTTGACATCGGCTTCGTTTCGGAAAAAAAAATCCAAAGATATAAAAATGGATACTTAGTAGTTTGATTGTGCACCATATGAATTATAAAAGACACGTGTTTAGTTACTTCTAGTTAGGAATAGGAACTCACTTTGCGGAGCTGGTGAAAGGATTTGACAATCTCAGAGAGTTTCTTAACCTCGTTGAGGTTGTCTAAAGGTCTTAGAAGATCACGGAGAATAACAATGTCGGACAACACAACCATCATTCCTGACGCGATTACAGGATGTCGCATGTTGAATGCATCTCCTAACACAATCACTCCCTTCTTATTCTTGCAGGACAAAGATGTTGTCATCCTCTTCGTCGGAACTTTCTTTATCTCTGGTCCTGCATTGATTCCCTTCACGAATATATCCCGTAGTTTGGGAGGTAACTGCAAGAAAAGGAGTTGGATAATGCAATCACGAGTAGTTTAGTTTGTGTTTTCGAACAAAAGCATCATCAAATTAGGTAGAAATCCATCCATATTGAGAAGATCGGATAATGTATACCTGAGGAACAAAAACTTTCTCAAGGAAGGAAATCATTTCGTCGTTTGTGCCAGAAGGAACATTCTCGGGGAGAACCTCAGTGGTACAACGAACCTCGTCATTGCTTATTTGGTACAACATTGTTATCGTTGGCTTCGACATTATCAAATGTAAACTATTTGGATCTTCAAGTCTACAGTTCTTCGCGACGAAACCCAATGAATATGTATACAACTCTACCTACAAAAAATACATACATAATAATCCTCCATGTTCTTGCATAATCTAAATCAAATCAATTGAAAAACCCTAATCTGATGTGATTTCCCTATATATATATATATATATATATATATATATACACACACACTACGAAATTTGACTCGAAATCACTCCACACGAACCTTTGAGCTATGGAGAAAGCGGCGGAGATTCGAATATGCACCGTCGCAAACCACTGTGAGAGCTGCCAAAGCTATTGTTTCTTCACCAGTAGTCTTGCTCTTGTACTTCACTCCTTTGATATCTCCAGTCTTGTCTTCTACCAAAGAACTCACAGTTCCCTCTTCCATCCTCACACTATAACGTTTCAATTAATATATAACTTCACTTAAAACATACATGGTGCGAGTAATTGAGTGTATATATAAATATATCTGTATAGGTACTTGGGAAGAGAGGCAGCCTTGTGGCGTAGCCTTTGGACAAAACGACCGTTGCGAAACCCTCGAGCGCATGGTTCATAAGGGAAGTTGTCGTCCACGGGATAGGGTGCAATTCCATGTTTCCCGTCTTTGTAGACGACCAAGCCCGTCAGTTTTTGCGCTTCGATTTCCTCCAAACAATCTAATCCCAAAAATGAGTATAAAGACCCTATCTTAATTATTATGTATATTTTATTCATTGCACATAAGACATTCACACGTAACCTTGGAGTCCTAGTTTGGCCAACATTAGGCGGCCTCCCGGTTGCATCACCTCACCCATCATCCTGTCTGGTTCTCTCAAGTCTCTCTCTATCACGTGCACGCGTCTCCCGTCCTACACCCGCGTTTGCATTTTCGCGTTTGCGTTTCAAACATCAATATCCCATATAGTGATTAAAGTTAGCCCGCTTTAATGGATCCACGTTGAATATATATATAACTAGAAAATTTCAAAGACAGATGCAAAACAATTTTATAATCAATGAGAGAAAATTTGCTGCTAATGAGAATTGACAACGAAATTGCAACGGAAATCGTTTATGTAGCTAATACCATTGTCCACTAAATCGAAATCGTATTTTTGCAGTCAATAGAAGGACATTGTATATAAAAATACCCTCCATATACTATTTTGACATCAACCCATGCACTTCTCCATCTATGACTATATGATCAAAATTATAGTTTGGTCACATGGTGATTACATTGATCATCACGTTAAATTTATAATAGTTTTATCAAATGATTAGTTCTCCATAAATTTAACTTTATAACCAATGTGATCAACATGTGATCAGACGGTCAATTTGATCACATGGTCATATCTAGAGAAGGGTTGAAGTCAAAATAGAATATGGAGTATATTTTTTATAATGGTCCAATAGAATTTGAAACTACTTTTCATATCAAAGATGTTGAAACTAAATTTATATTTCTTCCACGACACTAAACGCTACAACAACAAGAACTGATATAATTAAAGTCTGACAAATACCGTAGCAAGAGCATAAGCGAGAGTAGCACCGGCGACGCCAGCTCCGACGATGATGACGTCAGTGCCGCCGCACCCTTTTCTGACCTCTGCCGTGATGCTCTTCTTCTTTGTCTTCCTGGTTGCGTGAAACACCGTCCACGTCAGCACGACGGCCAACAATGTCCAGACCCATACGTTCGTCGGCGGCAACAACTCCATTATTGAGACTCTCTCCCAATAATATCAACACATTGGCTCTGTGTCTGCGTACGTATCTTTCTTTGCACAGTTCGTTCGAGTTTTATACCTTTTTTTTTATGACATGTGATTTGGTATTAATGCTGTCGAGTTTTTAAAATGTACAAAACCAGCCTAATAATCAGGCGTGGATATGTATGCTTGCTTAACCATGACGGGAAAAGTTGTGACGTCTCTCTACTTGTATTTAAAGCTTGGCTTTATCGCTTTCAAGGCCAAAATTTTCCACTTGTAGGTGAAAATGAAGGAAAAAATCTATGGCTATTGTCTCTCGCATGGTCATTGTTGGAAACTAGGACAACTTTCATTGTCGAAGCATGGTAGAGAGAAGCCATAAGCTCCACGTGGCAATAACTTTCTAGCTTCACCAATTTCATTTGACAGGGTTTTAAAATTAAAAAAAATCCTAAAAATTGTCTTTTAGTAAGTTAGAAATAAAATTACATTTATTATTTTTGTTTCTTGAAACTTTGCCTTGCAATAAATATGCATATAATATGTGTGTCTATAACCAAGATTTATTTTTGGGATCATAGCCGTAATTTAAACGTGGAAAAGAAAGGTTGTGTATGTTTTCTACAAACAATGGAAATCCCATTGATGAGCTTTCGCTTGAATGTTGGAGAAGATAGAGTATACCAAACCCGATTTCATTCGCAGCGACTCTAACCCGTACAACCAATCCACTCAAAACCCCCATTTGTTCTCCGACTATATCTTATCACCCCTGGATAGTTTTATAGCTGCACACTTACTCGAGGACGAGCAAACCTCAAGTCTGGGGGAATTTGATCACACGGGTTTTTCACCGGTTTTCTAACGTCACACACTTTGATTTTTCTCATATCTTTGGCATAATAGGACGTTAGACGGTCACGGGTAGGATTCTTTCCTCCATTTTCCTTGCAGGATGATCGAACGAGGATATTTGCGCACGAGGCACAGAAAAGGAGCAGAATCAAGAAGTCCCGGAAAGCTCAGAGAAAATGAGCGGCTCGCTCGTTATACCAGGCGGTCGCTCGCTGTGACAGCCAAGCAATTGGGCGGTCGCTCGCGGAATCAGGCGGTCGCTTTGTGCTAATACGGAGAACGAGCTGTCGCTCGGTACACAAGGCGGTCGCCTCGAGTTGCAAAGAAGAACGAGCGGTCACTCGTAAATATGAGCGGTCACTCACCCTGAAGAAAACGAGCGACACTGAAAAAAAAATGGGCGACCCTGAACAAAAAGTGAGCGACCGCCCGATATCAAATCCGGCCTGATCACACGGGTTTTTCACCGGTTTTATAACGTCGTGCATCACAATTCTTCTCACATTCTAGGCATCATAGGACGTTAGATGGCCATGGGTAATTGCTCATCGGAAATGACGTTCCTACCTTGCAAGGAGTAAAATCCTGGCTAGGATCGGTCTTTTCGATGAAGGACTTAGGAGAAGCCGCCTATTGATCACACGGGTTTTTCACCGGTTTTATAACGTCGTGCATCACAATTCTTCTCACATTCTAGGCATCATAGGACGTTAGATGGCCATGGGTAGGTTGTTTTGCTTGTTTTTCCTTGCAGGAAGACTCCACGATGAATCCTCACGAAGCGGGCACGGAAGAACAAGAATTCGAGAATGCTCGGGAAGCTCAGACAAAATGAGCGACCTGCCCATTTTATGGGCGGTCGCTCATTTTGTGAGCGGTCGCTCATTTTGTGAGCGGTCGCTCATTTTATGAGCGGTCGCTTGTTTTTTTTCGCGTGTCAGAGGAAAATGAGCGACCTGCCCGAAAAATGAGCGACCGGAAGAAAAATGAGCGACCCGCCTGAAAAATGAGCGACCGCCTGAAATCAAAATCGGTCCAAAAAGGAAAAGCCCATGTTTTGAGGAGAAAACCTAATTCTAAACTTTCACAAAAAAAAGGGGAGTTTGAGGAGAGAGAGGAGGGGGGCTACACACTTTGGAGAAAAATCACCTTGGAGAGGAAGAAAAGAGGGATTTTGGAGATCAAGGAGGCTAGGAGAAGAAGAGGACCACCATTGAAGACCATCTTGAGCATTTCTTCTCCTTTTCCATGTTTCTTCATTTTGCTTTCTGTTTTGAAACCCTAGTTATGGAGTAGTGACTTTGTTGTGGGTGAGGGATCCCCACTTTTGTATCGACACCTAAGCTTAATCTATGATGTCTTTGAGTTTCTTCCATGGGTTTGATGTTTTGTGCTTAATGCTATTGATTTGGTTGAAACCCTAATTGATATGATTGTAGAACACATTGATCATAGGGATATGGGAATGATGTTTGGAACCAAATGTCAAATGAGTGAGTTATTCACATTGGGAGATGGCTTAACTTGCTTAGGGTTCATGATAGGGTACACTAATGCATCTAGAGATCATTTAGATCATTGGGAGATGGGTGAATCGATCCTCTAGGTAGTGAGTTTAAGCTTGGGAGAGACAAACTCTAGAAGAAGTGCTTGAAACCCCCATATGGAGGACAACCCATAGACATTGTAGCATCATTAACCATCCATGCGATTCTTGAGGGATCCCGAACCTACAACGCCTCAAACCATCGTTTACAACTCATTAATTTCATTTGCTTGTTTGATCTTCTTTTCATATTTACATTTTCACAAACACCTTGTAAGCAATATTTTCCATCACCATTGATCTAGTTTAAGAATGGATTAACACAACCTAGTCCTCGTGATCGACCCCGGTACTACAACTACCGTATACTTGCGGATAGTGGTACGAATCGGGTATTAAATATAAGACTCGGTGCGTGCGCATCAAGTTTTTGGCGCCGTTGCCGGGGACTAGGCGTTTTCGTGTTAGTCTAGATTTTTGCTAGATCACCATTGCTTGGATATTTGCTTGGATTACTTTGCGACATAACCGTTTCACAGCACTTTCGGTTCGTTTTGTCTCTTTGGTGTGCAGCTCTTCCGGTGCATGACAAGAAGCACAACCGGTAGAGATCAACTCATCTTCGACCCCGAAATAGAAAGGACCCTACGCTTCGCCCGTAGACAGCAAAGACAGTGGGGAATGGCCGAAGAAATGCTGAGAGAAAACAACGCACGAAGAGAACAACCCGAGATGGCCGAAGAGCTGTTGAGAGGGGCCAATGCCCAAAGAGGTCAA